ATCCAGTGTGTGTCTGTGTCTGCCTACACTCTGATGGACTGGTGTCCCATCCAGTGTGTGTCTGTGTCTGCCTACACTCTGATGGACTGGTGTCCTATCCAGTGTGTGTCTGTGTCTCCCTGCCCTGTGATGGACTGGTGTCCCATCCAGTGTGTGTCTGTGTCTCCCACCTTGTGCCTGCTGTTCGCCGGGATAGGCTCTGTCTGCCCTGCAGGCCTGAATTGGAAGAAACATTTAGAAAATGGATGGATGGAGTTAGGGAGCTGGGCTGAATTCCCTAAACCCATTTCCTTCTTGTTCAAATGACCACAGTTATGTGTAGGCAAAAGCTCCTCTTGGATAATCCTGGAGCAGCTAAATTCCTTTTCAAAATCCATCCCTGAGAATCCACACAGTATTATCCCCACTAGTATTTACAAGGTCAGTGCATGCTTCCAGAAGAAATGGGGTCTTTTGGATTTTAATGGGCATGGATGCCATGAAGGTGCAAATGTACAGAAACCCAGCTGCTTCATGGTTTGTTTGCCATGAACAGTGATCAGTTATGAAGAATGCAGTCCTTTTTGATGAATAAATAATGCACATTAAAAATAAATAGAACCTCAGACAGAAAAAAAGCCACGTGTGCCTGGAGTTCCTTTACATTGCTGTAAGAGAGCATGGCAGCCTGTCATTATATAGTTAATGAACTCTGTCTTTCAACTGCCATGGATGTAAATGTTTAATGAATGAACCTTACACCCCCCACTGAGATCGCACTGACTCTCAAAGGGGCAGAGCATACCTGTCAGTACAGTACATTCTGGGGCAGTACAGACCTTCTACCTAATTACCAAATTCATGTGTGGGCTTAACCGGACCAATGCAGTCACTCTTCAGAGACATTCAGCAGGAGTATCACTTCACAGAGATGCTGGAAGGGGAAAAGGTCACTCTGGGGCCTCCTGTATAACACCTCATACATTTTCAAGCCCATCCAGTTACCCAGGATGGACCCCTGGCAGAATAGGGGTTAAACACATGGCTGAACATGTGACTTTCCAGGGCCCAGTCAATAAGGCAATTAGCAATGCAAACTGTAAATCAGATTTTTTGTTTGGTAAGCTCTTAGTGATCTTTTTTCCTTCTCTCTCACTACATCCAAAAGGCAACAATCGTGCAACATGCTTTTCTGTTTTGATTGGTATCTCAGAGTGAATCATGCTCCATTGTCATTTCTTTAAAGCTGTATAAGCAAAACCAGAGAAGAATTCATAACACGAATGAAAACTACCTAGCCTTCTGCTTGATTTAAAGGCGAATATCATTAAAAAACTGGAATGAACCTAACTTTATTTTAGTGTTTTCATACTGTCAAGAGACATCGGAGTGTGCCCCTGTCCTGTTGTCACAAACACAGACCCAAAGCCAGCCACACAGCAAACTGGGCATCACATTCACTGTTTGTTCAGATGCTGAGGATATATTCTTTTATTTTATGACATAGTACGACTAGCAGATAAAATACAAAAATGATAGGAGAAGCACTGATGCTTCTGTCCTCCATGTTAACTGACTGTGATGACTATTAACAAATAAAAGATTGATTGATTGGCTGATGTCAGTTTTCTATGCAGGTTGACTCACCTCGTGTGCCTGCTGTCCAGCTGAGCAGCTGTGCTTGAGGTTTAGTGGGGCACAGGAGGCACACAGATGGTGGGTAACTGTGTCCAGGGCACAGAAATTGGACAGAAAAGCAGGACATTTAGGCCGAGCTCCCCTCCTGTACCGTACCCTGGTGTTTTTTTGGAGGTCCAGTGTCCTTATATGCCCCATCCCCCAGATTGTCCAGTGTTTTAGGAGGGTTTTGATTTATCCTGCTCAATGGAAAGGGATAGACGTGTTGCAGAACAAGGCCTGAGCCACTAAGGAGGTTAATTTTAATGCTCTTAGTCTTATAAGGTTAAGCACATTTCTTTGTCCTACTGTACATCAACGTATTGTAGGAGTTTCAGAGTTTTAAGCAATAGTAGTGATGGAGAAAGGAAAAGAGAAAGTATATAATGAAGCAAGGTATCATACAGCTCGTGTGACCTTTCATTAGTATTACATCCACTTGCCTGTGTTTTACAGATTACAACACATTATTTTTAAAGCTAATCCCCAGCAGTGCTCAAAGGCACAGAAACACTTCCTCCATGACCTCTGCTGCCCAGACACTGCTGTCAAAGGTCAAACACCCCATCTCTGAACACAGCTTCACACGAGCTGTACATTACGGCACGATCGCTATTCTGAGTTCTGGTAATCTGGGGCCATGCAGTGTAGGTGGTAAGGCATTGGACACGTAACCGATGGGTTGTGGGTTCGAGTCTTCACCGCAGACACTGCTAATCTACTGTGAGTGAGGAAGTCTACCCCAGTGGCTCCAAATGGGGCTGGCATTGCCAGGATCAGCCCTGCAATCCAGCAGGAATCAGGAGCTCTCCGTGTGCTTGACGCCATGGAAACCAGGGGAATCTCAGGCCCTATTGGCTGCTGTGGCTTGAATATACTGTACTAATTACCTACTTACCTCCTGTAGACTAAAATACACTAAAATATCCTCCACTGTCCTCAACTGACCAGAGCGGCCTCAGTGCATCACAACACTCTCACCCGTGAGCAAGGACCGTGAGCAAAAATAACTTTTTTGCAGCTTTTCAGAGCGAACGAAAGAAAGAGATGGCAATCTGTGCAGTATATGAAAACACAACAACATTTGATAAAAGACACACGCTCGCATTACTCGGGCAGGCAATGGGACCCATGTATCAAAAGATGGCTAAACCTTCCCAGCTTTCAAAAACCCTATGTAAATTTGTCCCACAAGACGTTGTTTCACAGACTCCAGCCTTTCCTCAGAGATTATAATTTGGCATTCACGTGTAACTAATAGATATCTCTATGCATTTTTAAATCATACTTTATCCACCAGTTTATTGATAAATGTCAGTCCTGCAAGTTTAGACATGACTTTTTTGCAGTTCCTGAAACTCTTCAGTGTGCTGTTACGATAGACTTGCTGACCCCTTGCACATTCTGCCCATGTTCATTTTATTATGTTCATGAATTTTCATTTCTTCTGTGGAGGTCAGACGTTTAGTGTTGTACCAAATGTACACAGGTATCACTTTATATTTTATAAAAGGCTTTAGATACTTGCTCTGCATTACATACATTTCTGAGATCTTGATAAACTTTCATCATCAAATCAGTTGTTCATTTAATATGGCAAACACTTTTGCTTAATTTTGCTTTAGTAAGAGCCTGTTTCTTTAAATCAAGCAGTAACACCTCTATTTGTAAGTGCAAAAATTCATTTCAGCACGTGAGACAGATACAGCACGTGAAGTTAATGGTCATTTTGTGACTGTGATTACAGGATCGTGTGCGTGACAGAAATTCATTAAAGAACAATTTTTGCTTCACATGGATTTAAGCCTGCTCATGACATTTTAATTCGTGAATAGTTCTTGCAAGTTTTTAAAACTTGCTTTCTACGTTCATGAACATTTCAAGCATGATCTAAACTGTATGAATGGTCACAAAAAGTTATTTATATTTTCTTAAGTGCAGATGTGCTTGTGAAATAGTGACTGTGTGTCACAAATAATGAAAACAAGAACTGAAAATCAGAAGAAGCACAAATAAATGCAATTTCTGTTTACACAGCCGGTGGATCATTCAAGTGCCTGTTTTCAGGGTGTTGTCCTTCTGCTTTGTGCTTTGCTAGCACTACAAACACCTATCCAAATTTGTAAAGGGACAAGAGAAAGTTGCAAATCTTGGACTTCTTAGTGTATTGGTAAAGGCAAGGCTGTGATATAATGTAAGCAGAATCAAAGATTTGCCT